CTACACAATTACTCTATCTCTGGTCTATAGCTCAAGAGACATTCAAGACATACCAAATGCTTTCAAAAGGTAAGACTGAAAACTCAATCAAATGCCAAAAGGCATGGACTTAGGACATCTGGGTTTATGGCACATAAGATTTTTCTGATATTGTAATTCCTGTTACCCTTTCTGCCAACAGGAATCATATCCCAGGTGTTAAATTATGTTTCCTTATTGCTATGAGACCATGGCTTTTTTTTTGTGTGTGACATAAATGCTTTCAAAAGGTAAGACTGAAAACTCAATCAAATGCCAAAAGGCATGGACTTAGGACATCTGGGTTTATGGCACATAAGATTTTTCTGATATTGTAATTCCTGTTACCCTTTCTGCCAACAGGAATCATATCCCAGGTGTTAAATTATGTTTCCTTATTGCTATGAGACCATGGCTTTTTTTTTGTGTGTGACATAAACTCCTTAAATTATGTTTCCTTATTGCTATGAGACTATGGCTTTTTTTGTGTGTGTGACAAACTCCTTTAATAACAAGGCCCTCTTAAATAACTTTTGCAGCTATTTAAATGCATAGCTTGAATCACTGACACAGAACAACCATTCACAACTAGTACTCAGTACAAGTTTTGCCACTTCTGATTACAAACTGAAGAAACAATTTGTGGTGAAAATTCAGCCTGGTTTTTTCCAGCTATCAGTTGGTCTGACCAAAAAAAAATAATTTCTTTCTCCAAACCCCGCTCCTTTAAAAATCAACACACCACACTTCTGAGGGATAAATTACAGCAGAAAGTACTTATCTAGCTCTAAGAAAGAGGCAGATTGCACTATACAGTTTGGGATGAGCGTATTCATGCAGTGAATTTGTGACTGCAGGGACCCCTGAGCTTATTCCTCAGTCCAATAACCTGCTTGTGCAGTGGAGGATGGATTCTGCAGTTTGGCCTGTACAACAGATCTAACAGCAACACACGTCATCTTTTTGAACAATTTCTGCCATAACCCCTGACAAGGCAAAATCCAAAATTTCTATTCCAAAGACAAAAGTATACAAGCAGCCTCAATTTTAAGTATTGTGTTTCAGTACTGGTTGGACTGGAGCAAGAATATTTTATAGTTTAGGGTTCTTGTTGGCATCTGTCTTGACAGTTCTGGTCCTTGGCTCTCATCCCCTCTAGGCAAACAACTAGAAATCAGCACATTATACAAATGATCACTTAAGAGGAGGTCCAAGGAAAGCTTTTTATAAATGGTGCTATTACCCTCCGGGAAGGGATTTTGCCTGTGATGGGGAAACTTCACAACAGTTACAGAGTGAAGGACTCGAACATCTGAGCACTCAGTCACACTGTTGTGAAGAGTGCACAACCTCAGGTCACATTCCTTCTGTTATGATAACAGAATCATTAAGACTACTGAAATCAGAGTGTCTGTCTGGAAAATAAGCTACTACCAAAGATAACAACATGGATGTGAATTTGGACCTAAATAATCTAAGATAGAGTCTTCACAATAGGAATATGTATTTTATCAAGTTTTCCTCAAATACACAGTGCCTATCTATAGTTTCTTCCAGTTTAAATAAGAGTTAGATTTCCCTGCTGAGTGCTCACAGAAAATAGGTATTGTTGTAGGCAAAGGAAGTGAAACAGATTGTGGTTTAAAAACGAAACAAAAGATCATGCTGACAGATCACAAGAAGAAGCTGTTTACACACTTTACTGGCAATAAAACAAACCAGCACAGTACTGTGAGACAAAGACTAGGATTGGTGACACCTGGGATGTACTACTTTCTCTAAAACCTTGCCAAGTAAAT